CTCCACCATTTCATGGTCACTGCAGCCAAGGCTGCCCTTGAGCTTCACATTCCCCACCAGCCCCTCCTTGTTGGTGAGTACAAGATCCAGCATAGCACCTCTCCTCATGGGCTCCCCTATCACTAGGAGAAGGAAGTTATCAGTGCAATCCAGGAACCTCCTGGATTGCTTGATGCCCTGCTGTGTTGTCCCTCCAACAGATGTTGGGGTGGTTGAAGTCCCCCATGAGGACCAGGGCTTGTGATTGTGAGGCTGCTCCTATCGGCCTGTAGAGGGTCTCATCTGCTTGGTCTTCTGGTCCAGTGGCATGTAGCAGACCCCCACTATAATGTCACCAGTCACTGCCCTGCCTTTAATCCTGACCCATAAACTCTTGGTTGGCTCCTCATCCATCCCCAGGTGGAGCTTCATGCACTCCAGCTGGTCATTGACATAGAGGGTGACACTCCTTCCTCATCTCTCCTGCCTGTCTTTCCTAAAAAGCCTGTATCCTTCCATTCAAACACTCCAGTCACAGGAGCCATCCCACCATGTCTCTGATGCCAATGAGATCATAGCCCTGCAGGTGTGCACATGTCTCTAACTCCTCTTGTTTATTCCCCATGCTGCATGTGCTTGCATAGAGGCATTTAAGTTGGGCTCCCAGTGAAGCCGACTTACTGGCTGGAGTTCTGTTGTGCTGCCTTTCAGGTGCTCTCCTGCCGACCTGTGATCCTGCTCCAGGCTCTGGGCCTTTACTGCCGGGACCAGCATCAAACTGGTAGCAGTGGGATGGATTGAGGTTCCCCTCCCCCCTCATCTTTAGTTTAAAGCCCTCTTTACTAGCTTGGCAAGCCTGTGACTGAAGATGCTCTTCCCTTTCCCTGTCAGATGGACCCCCGATGAAGTTCATTAACTGAATTGAGGGGTTTTTTTCTTGCATGTGCCACAATCAGTGTTATTCAGATGTTAGTACTAGTAAACACTGATCAAACTATCAAAAAGATACAAGTAATGTTTAGGTACGGGTTTTTGAAATTGCAGCTTGTCTTCACTGTTGCACATAAGAAGTGGTAAGACTCCAGAAGTGAACAAGCTATTTGCTCACTTGTTACTACCCAACCAGGTGATACTGTCACTAAAGCACTCTTCTATTTTATCAGGCAGTGTCAAGACTGAACTGGAGAAAACCAAATTGCTCTGTGTACTAATTTTAGCTATAGACTAACTTCATATATTGTACAGTTTTAATTTATAGACTTGTTCAATGCACAGATAAGCTTGCGGTAACTTAATTGAAAGTGGAATCCAACAGTTCCTTAAAACCCAATTGATCCTTAAAATGAAAGATTCCTCTAGGTGAAGAGAATATGGCTGACAGACCAGATTAATGGTCTGGTTAATAATTCTTTTATACAGTAAGCTAAACCTCAAAGTCCATATTTTTCCTTGGCTTCCCGATGTCCTTTAACTGTTGCTTATCAACTGGCACAAAGTGATGCTTAGACAACTCTGAAAGAAACAATTCTGTAAGAGGAATATGATAAAGTAACAAGTCTCTTCCTGATCAATTTAAAATAAGGAAGAAGGGTACATAGTGACAGGAATTAGTTAAATAAGCTAATCCTTTGTTTGCATTTGAACAAATAATTCTCAAACCCACCAATCTGTTACTAAAAACTCACATCTTTAAGGCTCCTTATTCTCAAAAAGAATATCAAGATTCTGCTTTGGGTTATGTCTTCCCTGAAGCTCTACCTGTCCGTAAGACTGCTATGCAATAAACTTCAACATGACATTAAAAATTGATACAGGTAACTTTGGAAAAAGACCTAACATGGAACTGTAGTGATGGCTTACACTTTAGGTGGTGTTTAAGACATGACAATGTAAAACAAGGTTCTTGATGCAGAGAAGTCCAGGCGATATCAGTCCTAGTTCAGTTATGAATTGACTTGTTTAAAACTTTGAAGAAATGTAGTTAAAATAGCTTAGCAAAAATTCAGGACAGCTTTCTTGTTTTCTAAGCATACCAAATCAGTTAAGGTTTTAAATCCTGCCCACTTAAATATCCTGATAATCTGCTTTTGTCTTTCTGCTGGAACTGATCCTTGACTATTCAGTCTAGTCATCAGTGATGTAGGCCCCACTCCTTGTGGATTAGGGAGAACATTAAAGGCAGAAGAACTGCAGAGAGTATAAATATTCATAGAAATATCTTATGAATATTGTTACACTAAAATGCAGAGAAACCCCCTCCACTCTGGGCAGTGAAAATTGCCTATCTGCAAACTGTCAAAAGCCGTTTGTAGCTGACAAGCCCAAGCTTCTAAAGTGCAGTAGTGATGGATCAAATATTCTCATGATGTAACCTTGCTTGTGTGGAGTTTAGATCTACAGCTGTGGAGACAGATGAGTGCCCTGGGGTGTATTTCCTTTGGAACTAAAGATGAGCAATTCCAAACATGGCAGCCTTGTGAGCTAACAGGTGTCCCAGTCAGGTCAAAGCTGTGGCCAAAGGGCCCTTGGCACTGGCCAACTTGGCCCCTCAGTAACTGAGACATCTAGCAATGTATTTCATTAGAGTATCCTGCATGCACACCTTCTTTAGAGTGTTTGTGAAAATACTTTTTAAAGCATGTACAGGAAAATCCAGAGTGGCTAGATGAGGCACCCTGATTTAGCTGGGGTTTTGAGGCTTATGGAAAAGGTCCTTTTACATAAATAAGTGCATCCGGACTACAGCAGAAGCAGAAAAAGGCTCTGAAATGTAGAACACTACTATGAACAGTGTAAGCAACATCTTTCCTGATGCAGAAATGTACTTTGGCATTTGTGAGTTTTCCAAAGGCAGGTGACACTTATCCCCTGACTGTGTGCTTTATTAGAGTTGAAGTATGCTATTTTGTAATATGGTTGAATAACTTTTGTCTCAAACCTTTCTGGTAACTTTTTTCAAAAAGCAAGTGTATGAGTAATGACCTGATGCACCTAAGCTGTTTGTGCCATGCTGATGAGACTGTAGAATTTTTGTATTTGGCCAGCTTCCGATAGGAATGTGTGACTAAAAAAAAAATCACTGACTTTTTGTTTTGAACACTTTTAGGACAACATCAACATAGATGAAGCTGCTCGATTCTTGGTGGAAAACATCCTTGCCAACTACAAAACCTTCCCTAACGAAGAGAATGATGTGGCGAAACCAAAACTGGACCTAGACCCATTGAAAGCAGAGAGTAAATCACAGTGCTGCTAATGCAACCACTGTTCAGTAAATGTGACAGGATGAGCAGCAAGACTGTGCCTTAAATCAAACTGCTGCTATGGTGCTGCATTGTGACGATCCATATGGGGTGTCTGGTATTATCTGAATAGGTGATTCTTGTGGGTGTTTACATATTCTTGTTTAGCATGAAACTGAGTATCTTGAGTTATCACTCCACTTGCTTGAGTGGCTGCATCTAAGTCTGATTAGTGTCTTATTCCTTGAGAACAGAAGGTAGTGTTACACTCCCAAAAAGGAACAAAGACAACATTCAGTGTCTAGTTTGCTTCTAGGACATATGCTACGTTCCAAATAGGACTCACTTCTCATGGTTTTAGCTGAACAGACAGTTGCACCTTCAAAGCAAACTTTTCCTTTGTCACCTAATGTCCCACTTTAGCCTTCTCACCTACACACTTGTCCCTATTTATTATCCCCCACCATGAGGATCTGTCTCATTGCTAGTTCTCCTGGATCAAGACATCCCAGAAATCTTGAAGGGGCCAATGGCAGACTGGAGGTATCTTTCTTAGTGTGTTCACTAGGACTGAGTGAAGTAGATGGCTTTTACCACTGAGTAAAAACAAGATGGGTAATTGATTGTATTTAACAGGGGAAAGGCATGGGTGTGGAGATACTAACAAAAATGCATCTCCAGCCATTTAAGGCAGGATATTTTCAGCTAATATTTTACATATGAAACGCATTAAAGACTACAGTTGTACTCCTGGCACATAGTTATGGTAACCTCACCCATATGCACATCCAGAAATAAAGATCCAGTAACTGTTTCGTACACTAACACTGAAAACTTTACCAAGAGTGTGAAAAGTAAATCTCTTACTGTTCTGTGATAATGAACTTGCTTCTTTTTCCTGCTGTCTTGAGATGATTCTGAATACCATGAGGGGGGAGAGAGGTCTTGAAATAGCTTAACTGGTTCTTGCTAGTCTATTAAAAAAAACAACCCCAAGCTCTATCTTTTTTCAATTTTAGAACAGTGCTGCACTCTTCTGACTGCTCGAAGCTGGTGAACTGGCTTTGCAGTTTGTGACTCTGTATACCAAGATGTTTATGTTTCCTTGTTATAACTCATGTATTTTTGGCAGCAAATGAAGATCAAAAGGATTAGAGAGATTTCATGGTTCTTGAATACATTCTGGAACTATGGCTCTACTTGGCTGAATGAAAGGCTTTGAAGCTTCTTTTTATTTTAAGGGTTTCTTTCTGTTCTGGTACCTCATTGCTACTGACTTAAGAAGTCTTATCTTGCTTGGTCTGATGGTGCTGATGTTTACTTAAACATCAGCATAAAGTATGTGCCAGATTGGATATACTTTAATCTGTATGGAGGTTTCCTAGGCTGTCCTTTTGTTTTTTCTAAAGAGTAATGTACTTTTTTAAGAGAAATAAATATATTTGGGCATCTTACTTATGTTGTTGGTGTATGCTTTTGAGAACATGAATCTTCACATCATGTGTCCCACCCTATATATAAATGCTTTCATTGATATTTGAAAACAACTTTATCTTCCAGTAGCTGCTAAATTAAAGGCTTATTTTAAGTTACCACAGTAAGGCTTGGCATAAGCTAAAACTGGGTTTAACTAGTTTAGGATCATAAGATAATTGAGATGAAAGATTCTTAGGAAGTCTTCTAAGCCAACACCCTTCTCCAAGCGTGGTCATGCAAGGGTGTTTAGACTTTCATGTGGTCTGGTCTTAAAACCTCAACAATGGAGACTGACTCTGGGAAAGTTGTTTCAGTGCCCAACTGTCCCCTGAGAGTTTGCCTAGTCTGAACCTTTCTAACTTCAACTTACGTCCATGGTCTCTCATCCTCCTACTACGCACCACTGTAAAGAATGTGTCATTAGGTGCAGTTTTATTGGATGCTTAAAGCTTGATTGGTACTTCAAAATTTTTTTTGAAAGCCTGTAGCACTTCAGAAAGGAAGTTGCACCCCATCAATATTCCTTGCTCTCTGGCTTGTTTGAGTTGTTAACTTTTCTAGGAAATGTGCAACTACAATCATCTTCCTATTCAGTCACTTACAGAACAACTCTGTTTAGACTGTAAAGTCAGTTTTAAACTGCTTAATCTCCAGTGTACTGTCTTTTTCTGAACTTTAATTATAGCTGTACAAATCCAATAACTAGCCAGTGGAACATGTGCATGGCCTGTTTGATCCTTCTTGACTAGATCGAAACATAAGTCTTGGTGACCAGTAAAACAAGATGCAATTTCACGTTAACTTGGCTTTAACTGTATAAGTTTACTGAGCCTATGCAATATAACATGGACAAAAAAGGTCAATTCTTGAGTCTATCTAGTATAGCATAAAAGGCTGGTCTACATTCAAATGCTAGGACCTTAAATGTCTGCTTTACTGGGGAAACTGCCAGTGGATGTAGACTTTTTTTCCTAAAACTATTGTACTTTTTCATCTTTAGTTTTCGGATTCAACAGCAGAATGAAAACCCAACTCTTGAAGCTTTGGCACTCTACCTGAATGCATGAATCTCACAAGTGTCCTCCCAGTGATAGTGTAATCCTATGCAGATTAGTTTCAAGAATGTCTAAATTTCTGCTTGAAGAGCACTTTTCTTATTCTGTATGTAGCTTGTGTTTTCTGAAGCTCTACATGTAGAATGGCCATGACTCTTAAACTGTGGTGGAGAATACTAGTTTTGATACACGTTGTCACTGACTGGAGGAGCTGAGGCAGGGTGAGGTTCGGTAACTGCCACCTACAAAAATAAAAACCTCGAGGTTTAAAGTGACTGTGCAGATTGTATTACAGAGCAGATTGATATTTCCTAAGACTAGTAGTATAAAAAACAATTTGACTTCTACCTGCATGGAGTCTTTTCTTTCACCTTTCTGCTGGGAAAAAATGGAGTTTTAACAGATAGCTAGTCTTTCTTCATGCTACAGACTGCATTTTCACTCCTGTTCCTTGAAAAAAGCATTACTATGAAACTGGTGGGGTGGATCAGGAAATCTGATCCAGCCAGAAGGTCAAAACGAGAAAAAAAGGCCAGCATTTTAGCCTGAGGAAGGGAATAGGAGCATCTCCCTGATAGAGAAGAATGAGACTGTAGTTTGTGGAGTTTTTAGGTCAATTAAACTAGCCATGAAGCTCTGTCCTAATTAACCCAAGAACTTTGATTTGGAAAGACATGTGGAAGTTTAGACAGACCCAGTTTATCTTTAGGCTAATAAGGGAGCAAAGTGTCGAACATCCCTTGTTTTATATGTACAGGATATATAGTAAAGTGCTCATTCATCTCAGTCAGATGGACAGAGGCCCCATGCTATTTAATTTCATTACCTCTTGCAATCTGAAATATGTAAGTCTTAAGTGAGCAAGTACCTGACTTCCTAGTCTCTATATTTAAGGGTTAGTTCTGAGATGAAAAACTTGAGTAAAAATCTGCATCAGTGCCTCAGTAAAATGTCTTTCCTGGAATGTTTCCATCAACTAATTTTGTAAAGGCTGAGATGGCATATAGTCTTCTTGGATTGCAGTTGTGCAGTATGTCTGTGCAGCAAATGCTGAGTCGGCCTCTATTCATTTAAAAAGCTTAATGAGGCATTACAATTGCTGAGAAAACTAGAAAGGAGTTAGAGCGATTAGTGATCTTTCAGTATAGGATTTTCTAGGTGTGTCTTAACTGCAGTAGTAGAAAAACACGAGCTATTCCAAGCTCCAGAGTTTTGTTTGTTTAAACTCTGTGTCAGACCTATTGAGTTGTAATAGCATTCAGTTTCCTTAAACTGAACAAATCCATGTTTATCTGTAGTGATTAATTGCTGTGGAATAGTTTAAGTCATTCTAACAGACTTAGTGCCTGGGTAATCATTTGATGTACGGTGATAAGAAGAAATAGTTATAAAAGAAATATACGCAGTAAAAATATGGTATTGAATGGTGAAACATTTTGATCTTCAAAACTGTTGCTTCCTGTATCTTTCTCGTATTAAAATCTTTCTAGTGACCTTGGTTCCAAAACAGAACTGGCTACCTCTTTCTCCCTTTAACAGAACACCTTAAATAGTACAGAAACACAGTTCTCTAAGTGTGTATATGCCTTCATCCTTCATGTAATGAATTACTAAAGAATTTAAGAAATGGGGGTAGCAAGTTTTTTTTTTTACCTTTCAGTAGTAAAAAATATATTAACAAAAATACCAGTGAGATTAATAATGATTCTGAATTAAATACACCCTTCACTTGGCAGTACATAAAGGTCACTTCAGACTTCTTTGTTCTGCAGCAGAATAATATTGAAAATAAGGATCATGCTAGATTCAGATCTGACTATGCAGTGAAGATAATTTGAAAGAAATTGTGCCTGTATCATACACGGCCATTATAAAGCTCAGTTTCTAAGCTCACTTCTCTGTTTCAATTTGTGTCTAAACAGAAAAAAAAAAATACTTAGTGTATTTTTGAAGACATGATGATGGATTCTTTTATCGCCACCTAAAATAGTGTTCATTCAGTGAAAATTCTAGCTTAGATATCCTGTGTGGCTTACAGACTTATGAATAAATTGTACTAGAAGGTTATTTTGTCATTTTGGTCTGTGTACATGCAAAATGCTTCCTGCCCTGAATACCTTAAGAAAAGCTTCTTTTTTGAGGTAGGGATGGTGTTTCGGATAGCTTTGGCTTGGGAGGTGTACAAGTAAATGGCCAACATCTCGGTATTGGTTCCTTCATCCTCTTGCAAAGACACTAACAGATGAGTATACTGATTTTATATCTCTTTATCACTGGGTAAGTCATCATTTGGCCTCAGCTCTAAATGAAATTAAAATATGCAGGATTCCAGGCTTGTTGCACGTAACTTGTAACTGGGTGTAAAAGGTAGCTGCTGCTTGTCATGTTGCATTTTGATGCTAAGTGATTCTGTCTATCTTTTACAGGTTCTAGGAAATGTGGTCATTCTTTTGATAAAATATACGGGCTTCTTCTGTTTTGCCTCACCATTTTTTTTTGAACTTATGAACTTTTAACCTGTTTATTATTATGACCCTTCTGAAAGCTTAAGTTACGCTAATAATTATCGGTCCTGTTGGAAAGCTCTTGGATCCGTAAAGGCTAAAGATAGCATGGACATTCTGCTAACTCAGTTTCTAAATTCTTCTGCTCTTCCTGGTATGTATCAAAATAGTATATAGTGTCCATCCAGAATAATGGACTTTGAACCCCTCACATTCAGATGGGTTTGTTTGTTAACTTTTGTATTTCAGAAGTGTCCTGTAGACTGTGGTATTGAAGGTTACTCTGTAGTAAAGCACTTGGGCCACATTATTGATTTCCATTGTTCATATTATGTTGATGCATCTTT